TTCAGAAAACACCTCCAGATGGAACAAAATATCTATCCATCTGCAAATCTAGGTTTGCAGAAAACCATGCGGGCTGCCAAATGCAGCTTCCAAATATTTTTCAAGGGCAGACATGTATAGAATGTTGGTTCCTCTTATAAATTTATAATTTATATATATAAATATAAAATACTAGCTCAATACCCGTGCTTCACTACAAAACTATGTGGTCAGGCTTAGTTTTGGGGGAGGAAAATAAGGGGGAAAAAAATTCTGCCTCTGCCTCCCAGCATCCATCGGCGTTCATCTGGCTAGCATCCTGTCTGTGTGTGAGAGAGTTGAGGGCTGTTTGGAAACTGAAACAGTATTTGCTGCGTGAGCAAGAAGGAGATAGCAAGGAGCCTGGGCGTGGCTTAGCTCAACTATTCTGCACTAAAGCTGCTTGGTGCTGTGAAACTGAAACTCCTCTGCTTGTGTTTTGCCTTTGGAAGAGATTTCTTCTTTTCAGGTGGGGAGGGGGAGTACGACTCCTTAGCATCAGAGCGTGTTAATAATAATAATAATATAGGAGATACTCTAAATGCTCTGACGGTCATTTCGAAAAATCCTTTCTTCGTGAGCCCCACAATGGACGAAAAGCTGCAGAAGAGGATGGAGTTAGCAGAGATGGATTAAAGTAACTGCTTTGATTAAAGATAAAATACACAACTACTTCTGTCTCTACTTCGAAACCACTTCTGGACTTTGTGCTTGAGGTGGAGGGGGGGAATGAAACTTTGATTGTGGGTTTTACCAATCAAATAGGTTTGTTGTTTTGGAAATGGTTATTTTATACTATTAAGTAAAGGTAAAAAGTTGAGGTCTAATGTTATTATCTTATTCTAGTGCACCAAAGAGAGTTAGAAGTCTACGCCTTTTCTTTCTTTTTCTCCTTTCTCCCATGTTTTCCCCTTCCCTTTTTCCTCCCCTGTCTTCCTCTATTATTTTCTTTTGCATTGTATGGTATTAATACACAAATAAACTAAATTGTAAGATATTTTTAGTTGAATCTCAACCCGTGAGTGAGCAAAAAACAGAAATACTAAAACGCTGCTTTGTGGCTGTTTCAGATTTCTTCAATTTGCTCTTTCCTTTTGCGGTCGGCCCTGCTCAGTTCATCCATCCTATTATTTGATTATCAACCTACACAATAATGTTAGTAGCGCTGTTCAAAGCTGCCTCGGCAGAGAAAGGAAGTAGGAAGAAGAGCAGCAAACCGCCAACTCCCGTTTCTTAGAAATGTATTTTATTTCTCTTAAAATGTTATAACAATCCAAAGCAGAGCTTACCGTATAGTATAAAATCATCGTAACATGTGGGCTATGCTTTTCTTTATTGCAAAAAGAAAAAAGAAAAGAAACAGAACATTGTTTTCAAAACAAACCAACATCCCAATATAATTCACTTAGAGCATTTACAGATTTGCAGCATGTCTTAGTACAGTAAAATGTCTGTTGAATAATTGCATAGATGCTTTTAACCAATCTGTTGGGTCTGTGGGCTTATTTTTCCACTAGCTCTATACCCGTGCTTCGCTACGAAAATGTGGCCGGGCTAATAATATAGGAAATTCTAATGCTCTGATGGTCATTTTGAAAAATCCTTTCTTAGTGGGCACCTAGAAGGCAAATACAGGCCAAATTTCAAGGTTGTAGGCTTTACGGTTCTGGAGATGTTGTGATGATGCATGAGGGGTATTTCGCTTTTATATATATAGATTACCCAGGTAGACCTCAACTTAATGACTGTTTGTTCAACAATCCAGGATTGTGGCTCTTCATAACAACTACAACAGGGAGAGCCAGAATTGTGTGGGTGCCTTGCTTAGCAACACAGTAACTTATGGCCGTAATTCCGGGCTCGAGCGTAGATAAGTTGAGGATTACAGTTATTAATAGAACTTCCTTTCAAAGGCACTGGTTCGAATACTGATTTTTACTGATTTCTCCTTATTCTTTTCCTGTAAAAAACCTTGGCCAAAATTCCTGGAGTTAAAAGTCAAATGTGCAAGGTACCGAAAACTATCCACAGTTGTCAGACTGGGATGTGTGATCCTGGACTTTTTGATAATACTGATCAGATCGACCGAAAGCGATTAAATTAATACAACGCCAAGAAAATGATTGCAATTTGCTGGTTGCAAATGATCATTTTAGCTGCAGTTTTCCCTAATGGGCTTTTTAAAAAGTGCACCAGTAAAATCCATTTCTGTACAAACATTTCCAACGATATATACATATATACACATATACACTCTCACAGGTTTTAAATATTTTGTATCAAATACTTTAGGACAAACATAAATTACAAGGTTCTTCACATAAAAATCTTACATCTACAATATAACCTTGATCTTACAGAATATAAAAATATCCATTTTTGCCTGTTTTGGCGAGGGAAGAAACAGGTCTTTGCAAAGGCTGGCATGACAAGACAATGCTGAGAATTGATTAGCTGATTGCAGCTTTGGGTTTCCAAAGCTGAATGCAGTTTTTTCTTCTTGTTGTGGACAATTGACCTCCGTGGAATGAAGGGCCAGCTCTTAATGAACAATTTCACAAATCATGCCAAACCTGAAAACATTCGTCAACTACTAACTAAAATGCTAAATGTCTAAGGAGATTCTCAGTCATCCAGCTCATGGTTACACCAAGGGTGCTTTTTTTAAATTGGAACTGGACTGCTTTTTCAAGGAGGAGGAGGAGGAGGAGGAAAGGGAGGAAGGAAGGGAGGGAGGAAGGAAGGAAGGAAGGAAGGAAGGAAGGAAGGAAGGAAGGAAGGAAGGAAGGAAGGAAGGAAGGAAGGAAGGAAAGAAAGAAAGAAAGAAAGAAAGAAAGAAAGAAAGAAAGAAAGAAAGAAAGAAAGAAAGAAAGAAAGAAAGAAAGAAAGAAAGAAAGAAAGAAAGAAGTAGTAGAGGAGGAGGAGGAATGAGAAGAGTAGGAGGGGAGGGGGAGGAGGAGGAGAGGAGGAGAGCAGTAGGAGGAGGAATGAGAAGAAAAAGAAGAGGAGGAGGAAGAAGAAGAGGAAGAGGATGAGGAGAAAGAAGGAGGAGGAAGGAGGAGAAAGGAGGAGGAAGGAAGAGAAAGAAGGAGGAGGAGGAGGAGGAGGAGGAAGAAGAAAAAGAAAAAGAAAAAGAAGAGGAGGAATAAAAAGAAGAGGAGGAAGAGGAGAGGAGAGGAGGGAGAGGAGAGGAGGAATAGAAAGAAAGAGAAAAAGAAAAAGAGGAGGAGAAAGGAGGGGGAGGGGGAGGAAGAAGGAGAAGAATAAAAAGAAGAGGAGGAGGAGGAGAAGGAGGAGCTTCTTGAATGAAAAGCAAAACATTTGATGCCTGGGAATCTCCATAGACTTTCGCCTGAATCTTGACTGAATTTGTTCAATCGTGTTTTTATGGACAACAGAGTGGAATCCACATTCCTCCCTCAAAGAAACATCTCAGATCTAAGTCTCATTTTTAATCTGTCAATCAATTCTCAGAGTCGCCATCCTTTCACCCAGCAAACAAGCCCACCCGGGTTCTTTCGCCGCTGACAACATAAAGCAAAAAAACAAAACAGGAAAAGCACCTTTATACTGTAGTCAGTAGAATTGTGTCCCAGATCCCAACATACAGGAGACAAATTCAGTGCCAAAAATACTGCAATAAAAGAATCTTAAGATTCTACACCGTCCCAGAGGAAGGGACGAATAAGAGAAACAGAACGAAGGCAAAGTTATAAGATATTTAGGATGCAATTCCGCCGGCAGAAGAAGAAGAAAAAAAAAAGGAGGGGAAAAATATAATTTTAATCTTTCAGGAAGGGACACTTCCACATCACAAATTCTAAAAACCCTTCGTTAAATTAATTAATGTTTTTTTTTCCCCCTCGATATTTTAATTACAAAATGTAAGGCTGTATCAGTGCATAAGTTGCTTTATTGAGTACCGTATTAAAACAAAATTTGTAAGGCACATTTCTCTAGAGTTCCCACAAAACCAGGCCAACATTTTAGGTTAGATTAACAGATTTGGAAGGGACCTTGTAGGTCATCTAGTCCACACACACACCCGGCCCAAGCAGGAGACCCTATGCCATTTCTGACAGATGGCAGTCCAGTCTCTTCTTGAAAGTCTCAAATTTACAGGTAGTCCTTGACTTCCAACAGTTCGCTTAATGACGGTTCAAAGTTACAACGGCGCTGGGAAAATAAAATGACTTAAGGCCATGTTTATACACACACACACACACACACACGTTTCCCTGTTCAGAGGAAGACCCAGGCCCACCCCTTCTTCATCCTAAGGCAGGCAGGGAGGAACGGAGAAAGGAGCAATGTGGGTTGGGTGGCTTATGGGGGAGGAAAGGGCCCTGATTCCCTTCATTAGCCACAGCTGGGAAGAGAGTTTAAGAGAGATGCAAGGTGAGTGCGGCAGCTGCTGGGAGCAAATGTGAGTTTATCTTGTGTTGACTTTGGTTATCTGTGTTCCTAAGTCTTCCCAACCGAGTTGAGTTATTGCAGTGCCTTCACGTCTGGAATTCTTGCTCCTGCCCTGCCTGACTAATTACCTCATTCTGGCTTGATTGGACTTTAAGTTACAGTTTGTGTTGACCACATTTTGGACTTAATTCTCTACAGCCAAAGGCTGTTTACCTGGGAGAGTTTTTCTCCAGCCCAGAAGGTAACCAGGACATTGGGGGCAAAGTTGGAGCTAATACAGGGACTCCTACTGATGATCTGACCGGGTTGCCTTTGTGCCACGCCCCTTTGGGTCATGACAGTGGGCAGAGAAATCACAAAATGGGACAAAGCTCATTTAACAACCGTCTCAGTTAGCAATGGAAATGTGGGCTCAACGGCGGTCGTAAGTCAAGGTCTACCTGTATACAACTGGACACCCACAAGCTGTAACTGCACCCTCCAATTCCTCTAAACCCAGCTGAATAAATTACCACATTTTTCCCAATCGAAAAACAAAAACCAAAATGAAAAAAAAAAATCAATACTCAATCGATATCTCTTATTTTAAAAGCGCCAAAATAAGTTCCTTCCGGGGAGTGGTCCAGCAAGGAAGGATAGGAGACCTGGAGGCTCACCATCTCTCCCGACTTCAGTTTGAAGAACCCGCTGACGTTGACCGAGAAAAAATGAAACTCGGATTCGCCCGACCAGTTCTTGGTGCTTCCGCCTTTCATCAGGACGACCGAGTTTCTCCGCTTGGCATCGGTTTTGGTCACGTACACCATCAGCTGCAGCGTCTGGCCAGTCAGGTTGCCCGACGTTTCGTGGTGCCTGAAGTACACGTTGGCGTACAGGTAGTAAAAGCCGTCGTGATTGGCTATGAGCCTGCCGTCACTGAAGGTCATGTTCAGCACGTTTGCCCAGCCTTTGTCATGGTGCCAACATGTAAGATTCACTTTCCCGGTGCCTGAGAAGAGAAGATTAAGAAGAAGAAAAAGAAGAATAAAGTATTTGCTTCCTCCTTGTGGGGATTAGAAATAGTCCTCGCTTAATGACTTATTGATAAATCAATCAGATTAGAGCTGGGAGGGAGCTTGAAGGTCTTCTAGTCCAACCCTACTCAGCCAGAAGACCCTATGCCATTCCAGAAAAAATGGTTATCCTATCTATTTAAAATAAAATTAGAGCTAGGAAGGGCCTTGGAGGTCTTCAAGTCCATCCCCCTGCTCAGATAGGAGAAAACCCTAGACCAGTGGCGACTAACCTTTTTGAGCTCCTGTGCCAAAAATTGTGCGTCGGCTTGCACGCTCCCGCCAGCACACAGAGGGCAATGCCGCCCCCAGGCCCCCTATGCATGTGCGCACAATATCCGCCCACCCACCCACTTCCCGCTGCCCCCTTACCTGCACTGCACCTCCCAGCTGATTTTTTGCTGGTTTGAGGCCTTTTTCAGCATCCCAGAGGCTTGAGGAAGGCTTCTGGAGGCTTTGCAGGCCAAAAACTAGGCCCGTTTTGTCACTTCCGGTATTTTCGGAAAAAACAGGAAGTGACAAAACAGGGCTAGTTTTCGGCCTGCAAAGCCTGCAGAAGCTTTCCTCAAGCCTTTGGGAGGCCGAAAAAGGCCTCAAACCTGCCGAAAATCAGCTGGGAGGTGTGCGCAGGCGCAGTGAGGTAAGTTTGCCTGCAGCTCGCATGCCGGCACAAATGGCTCTGCGTGTCACCTGTGGCACACGTGCCACAGGTTCGCCATCTTGGCTCTATACCATTTCAGACAAATGGTGGTCCAACCTCCAGTGATGAAGCACCTATAACTTCTGAAGGCAACTTCTGTTCTGCTGGCTAATTATCCTCACTGTTCATTCTAAGGGACCTCGGGAGGTCTTCTAGTCCAACCCGCTGCTCAGCCAGGAGACCCTATGCCATTCCAGACAAATGGTTACTCAATCTCTTTAGAAGAGATTAAAGCTGGAAGGGACTTTGGAGGGCTTCTAGTCCAACCTCGCATGGCAAAAGTGTCAGAGTATATTCATAAACTGAAATAGAGCATGGTAACAAGGTCAGCCAATGGATAGGCATAGCAACTAAGTCAGCCAATGAGGACTGTTTGGAAACTGAAACTAGAAGTAACCTAGGCTGGCAACTGAAACTAGAAGTAGCTTAGCCATGGCTCTGTATTAAGCTCTGCAACTCTGCAGCTATGTGAAGCTCTGAGTCTGTCTATTAAAAATGAAACTGCTTCTCTGTTCTTGCTTGCCTGCTGAACTAAAGTAAAAGAGAAACTAACTTGCTTGCTGAAGACCGGAGCTCTGCTCTGAACTCGCAACCTGTTTCGGTCTGAGTTTGCTCCATGTTGGAGAAATCTACAAAGCTGGTTTGTAAAATCTACTTGTTCTGTTTATAAAGAAGTTAAACGAAGCATCAGCCACCTGCGTTTATTTTTCTGGCGCTGAATTAATGCTGCAAAACTCTGGGGAAAAAAAGTTTGAAAGTGAGCTTACCAGATGGAATATTGTGGCTATCGATTATAAGATGAGCAAACGGTGCTTTCTCCGGTTTGCTTTTCTTGGGGGAATCTGACCAGGAAGCTCCCATTGTGGCTGTTGGGGAAAAGAAGAAAAAAACCCATCATGTTAAAATCAGAAACTGAAATCTTCCCTCAGCTGAAGGTTCTTGACAAGAAAGTAACACTTACATTTCTCCAATCTTGACTGGTCTTTTCCAGCGCTCAGACGCTGGACCTCCTAAAAAGGAAAAAAAAATGCATTTAATACAGTAGAGCGGGATTGTAGCTAAAACTATGGCACTCCAGGAGAGATAAGATCCGATCTCCAGATGGTTAGCGCTACAATTGTGGGAGAAGAATTGGCCAAATCTTGGAGGTGGAGTCAAAAGAGGGATTAGCTTAGAATCCCTACATAGCCACAAGCAGTTAGCCCAACTCCCCAGAATTCTGTGGATTCTTATCTAACTAACTCCAAGCAGGGGCTAACCGTTGAGTTTCTACATGCAGGCACGAGTGGCAATACATCAGTTTAATTGAACCTCAATCGGAATAGAGCGCGTGCACAGGGCTGCTCGAAGGAAAAAGCATCTGCAGCAGCACAGGCGACTCGGGAGTAAGGCTGCAAGGTGATGGCCCCTCCCTTAAGGGATAAAAGCCAGCTGAGAAACTGCAGCTCTTTGCGGAAGGCAAAGAAGTTTAATACTTGTCCTGATGGATGTCAGAATATCTGAGTTGGTGCTTGGAGACTCTTTGATTTAGTGTTTAGGAACTTTATCTGTTGTTCTTGGCAGTCTTGTAAAAACTTGGCAAACTCTTCCTTGTTGGAGCTAATTAGTTGGAAGCAGCCTTTCATCTGTGAAGAAACGGGATTTGTTAATGAAACAGTAAAAGGTTGTGCTGTTACCTTTGTCTTGTGTACCTCTTGGAACCAGGTTTGGGTCAGAACAAGTAATGAGCAGCTATGATGATTAAAATGCTTTTGAGGAAAATTATGACAGAACCACTTCCCTTAATTTGCAGCACAACCTGAAATCCATATGACTTTTCCTACCCTGAGTTGAGAAATTATCTTTCGTGGTAACCAAAACTATCATATGAAGCACCAAATTTTGCAATAGCCCTAGAAGTAGCACTTATATACTGCTTCACGGTGCTTTATAACCCTCTCTAAGCGATTTTTACAGAGTCAGCATATTGCCCCACAACAAACTGGTTCCTCATTTTACCCACCTAGGAAGGATGGAAGGCTGAGTCAACCTGGAGCCGGTCAGGATTGAACTGCCGGCAGTTGGTAGAATTAGCCTGAAATACTGCATTCTAACCACTGTAACCACCACGGCTCTTTAGCAAAGATCTACATATTATATCCAAAAACTTCCACTGAAATTACATCTGTGTGTCCAGGCATTTTCCACTTCTGGTTTCAAAACATTAGAAACCCACAATTGCGATGAAAGCTTCACATTGGACGGGATCTGCACATCCAAACAGGCAATATCACCATCATTATGCTCTGCGTCACTTCTGAAGCAGGGAAGACGCCAAATCTCAGGGCAGATCCCTCAGGATCTGGATGTCGACTCGTAAAACATTCCTATGCTTGTTTCCAAGTTGCCATAAGCAGGAGAGGTGGGCAAAATCTGACGGAGCAGATCGGCGATTAAAACCAGAAGCGCATTCCACGCTTATCTTAAAAAGATTGTAGCTAGGCTACCGGACCTTCTGCCCGGGGAAAATCCTTCACTGGAGAATGTGATTGATGACACACCCAGCCGATGAATATGCTTCGTTGGAGAATCTGATTAATGACACACCCACCCAGGGGGGAGGGAGAAATTAGGGTCAGGGGGGTCCATAAATTATGTGTGTCAGAATTGGCTTCATACGGGTTAATGCCAGACATGTTGGTCCTAATAAATCTTTAGGATTTTTTTGAAGTTTGGCTCAAGGCTCATGAGTTAATTAGGGCCATCGCCTGACACTAGAATCTAATTAATGAGGGATATTTCCTAGAAGAGAATTTCTCAGAGACAGAGGTCTACCACTCCCACCCCAAACCACGAAGAAAGCAGTAGCAGTGATAATTTGGGGGGCAAGATTAAAGACGCAAATCTTCAGCGATCTTCCAAATACACGTGGGTGTGCACCTATGCATCCCTTATTGTCTAAGCCTAACCCAGAGAGAACGCCGGGAAACAGTGATGAGGTGAATACTAAGAAGAAGATCAAAACTCATTATCTCACAGGAAATCGAATGTTTTCTAGCTCTGTAGGGCCAGGAAGGAAGCTGCAGAGAAAAGCATCAATCTTTTAAAACTTCCACTAGTAAGCCACAGAGGGCGGCCCCACGAATCGCAAAGGAGCGACCAAAATAAAGGCCGGCATTTCGGTTCACGGTGAAAAATAAGATCACGGAGTAAACTCTATCAAGGGGTCGCAAAGTCCCCTAGGCTAATGAACTCCCAAGATTTTGAAAGTGGAATGAGACTGAAAAGGACAATCCTGCCCCTGGTCTCTCTTTGTTCGTCAGTTTCCTCACAGAATGCTTTCATCTGAAGGGTGGCATTAAGAAGGATTGGGTGGGATGGCCTTCATTCTTTCCCTCACTCCCTGATTCCAGGAGGAGGAGGAGGAGGAGGAGGAGGAGGAGGAGGAGGAGGAGGAGGAGGAAGGAGAGGAGGAGGAGGACGAGGTGAGGAGGAGGAGGACAAGGTGAAGAAGAGGAGGAGGAGGAAGAAGAAGAGGAGGAGGAAAAAGAAGAACAAGAAGGAAGGAAGGAAGGAAGGAAGGAAGGAAGGAAGGAAGGAAGGAAGGAAGGAAGGAAGAAAAGAAAGAAAGAAAGAAAGAAAGAAAGAAAGAAAGAAAGAAAGAAAGAAAGGAAGGAAGGAAGGAAGGAAGGAAGGAAGGAAGGAAGGAAGGAAGGAAGGAAGGAAGAAAGAAAGAAAGAAAGAAAGAAAGAAAGAAAGAAAGAAAGAAAGAAAGAAAGAAAGAAAGAAAGAAAGAAAGAAAGGAAGGTCACAAATGATGCCACATACCTCTTTCACAACCTCACTTAAGCCATCAACGGAGCCCAGGAGACCACACGTTCACGGCCAGATTCAATAAATACCCCCAGTGCGCCAACATCAAGCCTCCTTCAGCAGCCTCAGGGTAAACGTTGTCTCCTGAGCAGAGGCCGGCCCTCGGGAGGCTCCACGGGGTGAAGGGTTTGGTTGCCAAGTGCGGAGGACAAGTCTGGGCCTGATCCAGCTCCTCTCAGCCGTCCACTCCTGGGATGGCTGCCAAGGGGAACGGCAAAAAGGCTCTCTCAACCGACCAGCGTCTCCCATGGTGGTTTGCAAAAAGCCTTCAAAGTCCTTGCACACACACACACACACACACACACACACACACACACACACACAGAAAGCGAGCAGGAAAGGAAAAAAAAAACCTTTGTGTTGACATGGCGCGAATAAACGTGATAAGCTGGGGACTTTACCCCCATTGGCCAAGGACCGACAAGGAAGGAAAAACCGTCGGTCAGCTTTGAGTGGAAACGAGACTTTTGCCTGCCACGCCCACCAAGCCACGCCTACAGAACTGGTAGTTTAAAAAAAAAATTGAATCCCACCATTGGATTAACTTATGAACGGCAGAGATTCGCTGAACAATCATGGCCAGTAATGTCGGAAAACGGAGCACAACTCCCCTAACCAATTTCTCGCTGAAGCACATAAATTCAGAGTGTGGCAGTGTCCATTGTGGTCATAAGTCAAGGACTACCAGTGCTTGTCATGGTTGGTACCCCGATAAATGAAGATCTAGAAGACTGTTGTTTAAACAACAGCTGTTGAGATCCTCTCAGACAATTAAGGGGAAATTAAGGAAGTCTCCGCCTTATCTTCTTTGGGAATATATTGGAAGGGAAGACTGTTGAGCTGCTGCCACTTCCTGTAACACCACCGCGTTCTTCTCGAGAAAGACTCACTAGAAACCCGGTGAGAATCGCGCTCGGAACAGGATGCTCTGGGTTAAGAAGCAGATGCCAAGTTTCCTTTTTGCCAATCTGGTCAGGTGATTCTAAAATGGATGTGGTTTGTAATGCTGAGGTGTTTTGATTTGGGGGCCTCTTAAAGAGTTTGAGAAATTTAAGATCACGGCATTTGGCCTTTTCGATTCCTGGCAAAGAAATGGGGAAGAAATGGAGGGAGTGACAGATTTATGTATTTTTTTTCTGGGCTCCTAGATCACTGCAGATGGGGACTGCAGCCAAGAAATTTTTTTAAAAAAAACACTTGCTGCTGGGGAGGAAAGCTATGGCAAAGCTAGGCAGCCTACTCAAAAGCAGAGACATCCCCCTGCCAACCAAAGTGCGTAGCGTCAAGGCTGTGGTTTTCCCAGGTGCAATTCACGGCTGTGAAAGTTGGACCGTAAGGAAGTCTGAGCGCCCAAGAATGGAGGCTTTGGAACTCTGGTGCTGGAGGAGACTCCTGCGAGTCCCTTGGACTGCAAGGTCATCCAACCGGTCCATCCTAGAGGAGATCAACCCGGACTGCTCTTTAGGAGGGCAGAACCTAAAGAGGAAACTCAAAGACTTTGGCCACCTCAAGAGAAGGAAGGAAGGACTCCCTGGAGAAGAGCTGAAGGCTCAGAACGATGGAGGGCAATAGAAGAAGGAGAAGGAGAAGGAGGAGGAGAAGAAGAAGAAGAAGAAGAAGAAGAAGAAGAAGAAGAAGAAGAAGAAGAAGAAGAAGAAGAAGAAGAAGAAGAAGAAGAAGAAGAAGAGA